CTCTGTGTGTGTCTGTGGGTTTCTGTGTGTGTCTGTGGGTCTCTGTGTGTGTCTGTGGGTCTCTGTGTGTGTCTGTGGGTCTCTGTGTGTGTCTATGGGTCTCTCAGCGTGTCTGTGGGTCTCTGTGTGTGTTTGTGGGTCTCTGTGTGTGTTTGTGGGTCTCTGAGCGTGTCTGTGGGTCTCTGCGCGTGTCTGTGGGTCTCTGTGTGTGTCTGTGGGTCTCTGCGCGTGTCTGTGGGTTTCTGTGGGTTTCTGTGTGTGTCTGTGGGTTTATGTGTGTGTCTGTGGGTCTCTGTGTGTGTCTATGGGTGTCTGTGGGTCCCTTTGCGTGTCTGTGGGTATCTGTGTGTGTCTGTGGGTCTCTGATAGTGTATGTGGGTCTCTGTGTGTGTATGTCGGTCTCTGTATGTGTCTGTGGGTCTCTGTGTGTGTTTGAGGGTCTCAGTGTGTGTCTGTGAGTCTCTCTGTTCGTCTAGGGGGTATATCTCTGAGTTAAATAGAAAAAAAGACGAATCCTCGATTCCTTCAGGAACGCAGTCGGGTTCAAAATGTGTATGTATGTATATATGTTGAACTTTTTTCGCACCCTACGTAGCTAACCGTGCTAATCCACCACTGAGTTCCAGGGCGTCCCGGCCCATTTCCACCACTGATCCTCACAAGCTGCCGATGCGGGCTCGGGAGCGTTCTCCTCTTGAATGAGTTTGGATGTTCTCCTCGCTTTGGGTTCCTGACACGCGGAAAAAAAAATAAAGTACTTAAACATCCCTGCCAGAAACCACCAATCCTGTAATATCTTGGAACACCCATTGAGTCGTCTTGCCTGCATACAGGTTTCAACATGCGGACACAATACACAGCGTCCACAATGACTCCATCGGCAGGTCACGAGTGGCGGGGTGAAGTGTGCGTACTCGCACCGCCGTGTACCTGTCCCCTTGTTTAGCGCAGTATCGTTAATGGAATGTGTTGAGTGTTTTTACGTGACCGGGCAAACGCCCTGGTCAGACACGGGAACAGAGAGCATTAGTGCCCCCTGTAGACAGAGAGAGGGACACGGGTTGTATTGCGACGTCTGCATTTTATTATAGGGTTACTAGCTGTACTACCCGGCTTCGCCCGGGACTTGTATCTACCACGGCCGGCCGCCTTTGTCTCCCCAGTGGCGATGTTAATACGCTACAGCAGTTACTCGTTTGAGGCAGAGTCGACCTAGGGGAGGTTCAAATAATCGTCACCGGTGGTGGCCGTGAGCGGGAATCGAACTGGGTTTGCCGTGTTGGTAGCGCAGCGTAGCGTTAAGCACTACACCCACCGCTCCTCACACACCACACACGCACACACACAGACACACACACAGACACACACACAGACACACACACACAGACACAGGCAGCACGCTAAGCACTACACTACCGTTCCCCCTACACAACACACGCGCGCGCGTCCATAGGTACACATACACGCGCTTGCTGCAGACACACACGACTTTCAGGGTGCGTACGGCAGTAAACGACTGAAATAATAAAGCGGCAATGCTGTGTAAGGAACGCCTTAGACCCGCATTACACATTTGTGTAATGCGAGCGTAAACACACAAACACACACGAACACATACACAATACACACACACATACATGCAGACACACAGACAGACACATAACACACATACATACACACACATACAAACACAGAAACACATACACACACATACATAGACACACACATACACATCCACAGACGTACATACACACATACATACAGGCACGCAGACATACACATAAACACATACAAAAAAACCCACATACATACACACACACATACATACACACAAACACATGCACACACATACATACACACATGCATACAGACACACAGACATACACATAAACACATACACACATACACATGACCCGGCTTCGCCCGGGACTTGGATCCACCACGCCCGGCCGCCTTTGTCTCCCCAGTGCCGATGTTAATACGCAACACCAGTTACTCGTTTGAGGCTGAGTCGACCTAGGGGAGGTTCAAATAATCGTCACCGGTGGTGGCCGTGAGCGGGAATCGAACTCGGTTCGCCGGGTTGGTAGCGCAGCGTAGCGTTAAGCACTACACCCACCGCTCCTCACACACCACACACGCACAGACACACACACAGACACACACACAGACACACGCAGACACACACAGACAGACACAGACAGACACACACACACACAGACACACAGACAGCATGCTAAGCACTACACTACCGCTCCCCACACACCACACAAGCACACACACAGACACACACACAGACACACGCAGACACACACAGACAGACACACACACACAGACAGCACGCTAAGCACTACACTACCGTTCCCCCTACACAACACACGCGCGCGCGTCCATAGGTACACATACACGCGCTTGCTGCAGACACACACGACTTTCAGGGTGCGTAAGGCAGTAAACGACTGAAAAAATAAAGCGGCAATGCTGTGCGAGGAACGCCTTAGACCAGCAACACATTTGTGTAATGCGAGCGTAAACACACAAACACATACAAACACATACACACACATACACACAAACACATACACACACATACACACACATACATACACACAGACATACACATACACACAAACACACACATACATGCACACAAACACATACACAATACACACACATACATGCAGACACAGACAGACACATAACACACATACATACACACACATACATACACAAAAACACATACACACACATACATAGACACACACATACATACACACAAACACATGCACACACGTACATACACACATACATAGAGACACGCAGACATACACATAAAGACATAAAAAAAACCCACATACATACACACACACATACACACATACACACAAACACATACATACACATACATACACACATACATAGAGACACACAGACATACACATAAACACAAACACACATACACATGACCCGGCTTCGCCCGGGACTTGGATCCACGATGCCCCGCCGCCTTTGTCTCCCCAGTGACGATGTTCACACACGACAGCAGTTACGCGTTTGAGGCTGAGTGGACCTAGGGGAGGGCCAGGTCCGTTTCAAATAATCGTCAGCGGTGGTGGGCGTGAGTTGGAATCGAACTGGGGTCGCTCAAGCAGCTTAATGACTGTTTGTACAAAGAACATATAAAGAATCGATTATAATAACCAGGCTACAGTCCACATTATAGACTGCCAGTACACGCAGTCAGCTTCATAAGCAGGCTAGAGTGTACATGATAGAGTGGCAGTACGCTCACCGAGCTTAATAAGCAGGCTACAGTGTACATGATAGACTGGCAGTACGCTCACCCAGCTTAATGAGTATTTGTACAGTGAACATTAAAGTAATCGATTGTTGGCGCGTTGGGTTTAAAAGTAATATTAATAGCACACATTGTGGTGGGGGTGTAGTGAAGAGTAGGAAAAACTTTGATGAATTTACCTCAGAGTGGCGTGGTGGGTGTCGAGGCCTAGTAGCGTGCAAAGCCTGCGGCCTCGCCTAAAATTGTCGGCTTGGAAGAGGCAGGGTACGGGTGGCGTTCCTTCCCCCCCCCTCAGCGCTCCAACAATACTGTGTAATGGCTATTATTTAATTAAATACGGAGCTTATGAAAGTGGCGAAGGCGTGGCTAGCCGTTGGCAGAAGCAACCGCCGTCCAATGAAACTGCAGCCCTTGGCGAAGGCGTCGCTAGCCGTTGCCAGGTCCAATGAAAGCGGCGAAGGCGTGGCTAGCCGTTGCCAGGGGCAACCGCCGTCCAATGAAAGTGCGTATGGGCCGAAATACACACACACACACACAGACAGACAGACATGAACGATTTTATATATATAGATGTTGTCGGCAGAGGGCGATATAGCAACATTCACTGGCGTACTGCGATAGGATCCAGCGTCTATGCATTTCGCCTTCAACCTGGACGGGACCAGCAGTGGTGAAGTATGGTCAAAATAATGCGGATGACCGGCATGGCCTCAACAGGCCTTCAATCCAGCAATGGATTGATGAAGGGGCTTTACATTCTTGTTCAGCATCACTCAAGGTACGTAGCAAGGTTTGAGCAGACGCTAAGTCCAAGCATTTGCAGTGTCCCTATAAACACCCATTGATGTATCATTCACTTGCAGTCAACCAGCTGCCCCCTCGTCCCTCTATTAGCGCTACTACCACAGTCATTGTACGCGTGACCTTGACGCCGTGACACCTCTGCCAGAAGTCCCTGTGTAATCCGGCAGTATGTTCAACCGTCATTGTTCGGAAAGTCAATTCGCATTCCATTTTTTTTATCACACTTTAGAACTCCCTTTGTCATCTCTCCGCCTAACTTCCTAGAACCTCGCTCGCTCCAGGACAAGTGAAAGTCCATGCCTGTCGTGCCATCCTGAGTTCTCTCTGTCGTTGGCTTTGGAGCCCCCTTCCCTGTCGCCTCTCTTCCCAAGTTCACGCAAATCCCTCTGCTCGGTTCAAGCAACGTCAATCCGTGTCTGCTGCACCATCAGCACGTTTTAGTTGTTGGCCGATTTCCGTTAGAGGCCTTCAATGTCGCCCTTGACAAACACGATATGCGGTGTAGAGGATATGTGATCGTATTACATTTTTTAGTTGGTACTTCCCCAAGCCGTATTGCTTCTTGAACAATGTAATATTTAGCCACATCGGGGTTGTGCCAAGCAAGCCGGGCGCGTCTCCATAGCCGGCCAGGTTGTTTTTCCACTGCGTGAAGACGAGCCGTGCCGTCGATATCACGCGCAATAAACACGAAGATTAACTGCGGCCCTGGCCCTGCTTGACCCCAAACCGGACTCAGTTGTCTCGTGAGTCCAGCGCATCACGGTTTGGTTCTGGCTTGGCATGGAAACATTTCCAGTGGAAAAAAACATATATACTGTGCTGGAGCGGTTTGAATGTGCCAGTGGAAAATGGTTGTTATTTGTGGACATGGTTCCTGGACTACACTAAGCCCTGCGCCGCGGCGCGCAGCATCGTGCGAACATCTGGCGGAGCTCCCTGCGGAAGGAGCTGGCGGTGCAGTAATAAACCACGGGGTCCAGGGCGGCGTTGGTGACGCTGAGCGCCAGAGCCACGCGGTGCGCGACGGTCGCCACCGTCAGCAGACGGCAGTGACCATCCAGCGACGGGTCCCCCGCGTAGCGCACGAGCAGCTCCATCACGCGGGTGGCGTGGAAGGGGACGTAGCAGAGCACGAACACGGCCATGGTGAGTCGCACGGATCGCAGCGAGCGCTCGCGCGTGTGCGTTCGCGCCGGGCTTGTGCCGCCGCCGCCGCTAAGGCTGCCGCCGAGCGTCGCGAGCTCGCCCGGCTGCCCCGGACCTCCGCCGCGGAGACGGAGCGCGATGCACGCGTAGCAATAGATGAGCACGGCGAGCGGAGCCACGAAGGAGACAGCGTATCCGAGCAGGCTGGCGTACACCACCTCGCGCGAGTGGCTCTCGAAGCACGCGATGCGCCAGCCCCGCTGATCCTGCAGCTGCTGTAACGCGGAGTCGTGGCGCAGAGAGCGGAACGACGGCCTCGGGGGAACGCGCGCCGTGTGCTCCATGGCGAGCACGCGCGCCGCGCCGCACGCGTGCACGAGCCAGAGCAGCGCGCAGACGACCCGCGCGTTCCGCGGCCGCCGTGCGGAGCCGCGCCGCCGCGTCGGGTGCAGCACGGCGTGGTAGCGCTCCACGCCGACGAGGGCGAGCGACGTGACCGACACGTACATGCTGCCGAAGAAGAGGACGCCCGCGACTCGGCACGCCGCCTCGCCGAACACCCAGTGCCCGCCCAGCGCGTGGTACGCGCCGTGGAACGGCAGCGTCAGCACCAGGAGCAGGTCGGACGCGGCCAGGTTGGCCATGTAGACGGTGGCGGCGCTCCGCGCGCGCGTGCGGAAGGCGAACACCCAGAGGGCGGCCGCGTTGCCCGCCAGCCCCACCAGGAACACGGCGCCGTAGACCGCCGGGTAGGCGACCGTTCGCAAGTCCCAAGGCTCCGCACACGTTGCGGCGCCCGCCGTGATGTTGAGCTGCGGCGAGGGGGGGACGTGGGAGGCGGCGGCGTAGGACGAGTTGGGGGGCATCCCTCGCCGGTCCATGGTCGTGGCTTCTGGTGGTTGGTTCGTGTGGTGATGGTCGCAGTGGTGGCGTTGGTTGTGGCGGTGGTGGTAGTGATAGTGGTGGTGGTGATGTTGGTTGCGGCGGTGGTGGTAGCGATGGTTGTGGTGGTGGTTGCGGTGGTAGTGGTGTCGGTGGTAATTTCTTACGCAGTCATTCGTGACCGGCCTGAGACCATCAACCGGAGTGGAGAGGCCAGTTTATCTGTGGGTGGATCTTTAGCTCGGTTTTCTCTGACCCTTGAGACAACTCGCCACCACCTCGGATCGTGGCCGTCACCGTGCCAGTGGTAACAGTGGTGGTGGTTGGTGGTGTGGGTGGTGGTGCTGGTGGTTGAGGAATATCGTGACGGTCATGTACCCCCCCCCCCCTCCCCCGGAGCGGGGCGCACAGACGCGTGGGGTGAATGGCCACTTGCGATCAGGCACGGGTGTTTGGTGGTGGTCGTGATGGTGTTGGTGGGGAGCGGTGGTGTAGCGATTAGTGCGCTGGCGAGCCGAGTTCGTTTTCCGCTCACGGACAACACCGGTGACGATTATCTGAACCGGTCATGGGCCTCCCCTAGGTCGACTCCGCCTCGAATGAGTACCTGGTGTGGTGTGTAAACGTCGCCACTAGGGAGACAAAGGCGGTCGGAAGTGGTGCTGGCCACCCCCCTTCCCCCCTCTCGTGCACCGTACCGGCCTTCATTAGGTGCTAGCTAACAGCACTTTCCCCAACAGTCTGTTAAGGCTTTATGGGCGATCTTTGTCTGTGGTAGTGGTTGGTTGGTGGTGGTGCTGGTGCTGGTGGATAGTGGTGGTTCTGGTGGTGGTTGGTGGTGGTGGGTGGTGATGGTTGGTGGTGCTGGTGATGGTTGGTGGGGCTGGTTGGTGGGTGGTGGTTGGTGGTGGTTGGTGCTGGTGGTGGTTGGTGGTGCTGGTGGTGGTTGGTGGTGCTGGTGGTGGTTGGTGGTGCTGGTGGGTGGTGGTGGTTGGTGCTGGTGGTTGGTGGTGGTGCTGGTGGTGGTGGTTGGTGATGGTGCTGGTGGTGCTGATTGGTGGTGGTGGTTGGTAGTGGTTGGTGGTGTGGGTGGGTGGTTGGTGATGGAGCTGGTGACTAGTGGTGGTTGTGGTGGTTGTGGTGGTTGGTATTGGTGGGTGCTAGTGCTGGTGGGTAGTGGTGGTTGGTGGTGCTGGTGGTGGTGGTTGGTGGTGGTGGTTGGTGGTGGTTGGTGGTGGTGGTGGTTGGTAGTGCTGGTTGGTGGTGCTGGTGGTGGTGGTTGGTGGTGGTGGTTGGTGGTGGTGGTGGGTGGTGGTGGTGGTTGGTGGTGGTGGGTGGTGGTGGGTGATGGGTGGTGGGTGGTGGTTGGTGGTGTTGGTGGTGGTGCTTGGTGGTGCTGGTGGGTGGTGGTGGTTGGTGGTGCTGGTGGGTGGTGGTGGTTGGTGGTGCTGGTGGGTGGTGGTTGGTGGTGGTGGTTGGTGGTGGTGGTGGGTGGTGGTGGTGGGTGGTGGTGGTTGGTGGTGGATGTTGGTGTTTGGCCATCAGCCCTGAGGCCGCCTCCTCGCTCCACTTCTCGCCCAGGCCACATACATCACTGCTGAAGTTTTTTTCCACCTACGTAGAAAACGCACAAAGAAACAGGGAATAGTACGAAAACATAAAAATAGGTTTTACCCTTTGTGGCAATAAAACAGGAAGTTGTTAAGATGTTCAAACAACAAATAGAAACATTTTGCAAGGAATCAAGTCTGCATTCAGCACACGTACTTGTGGTGAACGTGCAAACAAACACGCTCTGATAATATATGGGCATTGTCTTTGAAGCTAATTGGCCTACTTCATGGCCTCGTCTCATCAGTGTCAGATCAGAGAACAACGCCAAAAGGCGAACAGCGCAATGACTTATCAGATCATTTATAGCTCGGTGCGAGCAGCTACATCATGGAATACCTTTTTACTCGTATCAAAATATGAAAAAATAATCGTAGGGTTTGCCCTTTCTAGCAATAAAGGAAATAGTATCCGTGATGAAAACGAATTTAAAATAAAAATAATAATATGCGAACAATTGGTTCAGGGGTCGGAAACCAGCACGCGGCTCTTTAAGGAACTGCTGCTCAGTTGTGGTTATTTATTGAGGACCACCGCCGTCTCGTATTCACCGCAACGCAATGTGGCAGCTCTTAGAAAATACTGAGTTGTGGGTTTTTTTTTTACGAATTTGAAAAAATATTTCGTCTTGTTATTGTGGCCGCCGACCGCTGGATCAGTTGAACATAGAGCGTCGTCGTTCGTACAAAATTCCATCTCACAATCGCCGAGAAGCAACAGCCAAGCTTGGAAGGCCGTCAGTTCTGCGTATATATTCAGATGAAGCGCTTTGAATAAGGGCCATGGCCCGAAACGTCGCCTATTATATGTCTCCTTTTAAGGCCACGGTGGCTATTGACGAACATGTTGAGTTTCTGCTACTTGCGCGCCACTGTCATCGAAGAAGCAGCAGCAGCAGCAGCACCAAATACAGCTTTGTTTAACTTGGCGCAGTGACTGCAAGGAGCGATTTGCGGACAACCGCACGCGAGACGCGGCTACTTCACACGCGGGGCCATTCAATGCGTGCTCACGTAGATTTTGCATGTTTGTATGTCCTCTATGTTGAACATATTTCGCACCGGGACGTGGCCAACCCGTGCTAATCGAATGTGCGGGGGGAACGGACAACAAACCAAACACAAAAAAACTAGCAGTTATAAATAAATGACTTCTCAATCTAGCTGATTTAAAAGTGCGTGGCTCCCAGTGGCTTCCTCGTATCGGGAGGGAGGAGCGTTCCAGACGGCCGCAGAAGTGCGTCTGAAAGCGCGCGATGGGCGGTGACCCGTCAACTGTTCGATGGCCAGCCGTGATCGGAGTTCGCGTGATGGTAAACTTGGGCCAGGCACTGTTGGTTACCGCCCACAGATGTGTGTCAATCAAGGGCGACCGTGATAACTAACCCACGTTGTGCGGACGCGCGGGCGATGATGATGATAATGATGTCGTAATGCAGCAATAACGGAGCTTTCTTAATCGCACGGAAGCTCGCGAATTGTCACGCGCTTTGAAGTCTCCGACTGTTGATTATACTGACGTCCCGAACTGCTCGTGTTCACTGATCAATTGAAAACAGAAGCTGCGCGTAATATAGGATGCACGTCTCGGCTATTTAAGAGACGAGGAAGAAAAACCACGCGTACGCCACGGATTCTGCAAGCCTCTGTTGAATGTGGCCGATTTCCAAGCAGGCAAACCTCTAGTAGCAACAGAACTACACACGAAAGTTTCGTTCACATTGGACGTTTTTGTTTTACAAGAGTTATGAGACACTGAGGCTAACAGAGTTAACGCACCGACGCGATGCATAGTAACTCGCAATGGGTCACTCGTGGTGGTGCAGAGAAATCCAATCTTGCACTGCACTTCTATGCCCGCACGTCCGTGCTCCCCGCCTTCGCAAACCGGCACTGACCAGCGTGGTGAAGTATTTTCCAATAAACCCCGACGACCCAGAACGACGTGGGGAAGCCCATCGTCATCCAGCAGTGGCTGAATGTCGTCGTTGGTATATAAATCGATTGGTGGGGTGTTTGACAAAGTCATCAACACCGGTGCAGTGCATTCAGCATCACGGCCGGGACCTGTGCTGTGTCATACAGAGCGCCCTTACATCCAGAGATCACGGCGCGGCAGCTGAAACAATGGGCGAGTTCTCTAAATCACACCCACCCCCGCGTCTGTCTATCCAGCAGTAGAAATTTTATTCATTAGTTAGTGTAGTTGAGGTCGTGGCGGGGCAATGTGAGTGCTTTCACCTGTTACTTTGTATTTATTTATCCAGTCGTCCTGACGAGCAAGCTCCACACCCACGGGAGGGTTGCCCTCTAAGAGCTCCTGCGAGCCGGAGGCACCTTCCGCCAGCGGCGACGTGAGCGAGTGAGTTGTAGGGCTGAGCACCTTTAATTCATATTTTGCATGCGTCAAAAGAAAACAAAACGCCGAATCCTTCGTAGAAAGGGTTCGTCGCCAACTGTGCAAACAAAACCTTTGTCCTGGAGCCTGGCGGTGGTGGCTACGCACGTGGCCTGTGATCCAGCGCTGTGGGGGCAGCAGCGAGGGTCGGTGGATCACAACAAATGTGTGGAGTTCCACGGGGAACACCCACCGTGCATACGAAGGGGAGACACTCAAGCTCTATACGGATAGGTTCCAGAATCAATGGGTGCGATGCGATCTCCTGGTTAACCGCGGCTAACACCACTGCACTGTCTTGCCACTTCCCTCAAGTGCTATTGCGATTGTTGTGCTTATCAGCGTCACGTCATGAGATAACCAGCATTGCAGCTCGCCCTTCCTGCTCGAGAATGTCCCTTTAAAAAGTGACATCTGGTCCACACAGTATGGCGCAGAACTTTCCAACTCCCGAATGCACGTCCGAGCAAAGTCCATCGCAAAACAAAGTTTGCGGGACGGTTGTCGTTTTGTTATCAATCCACTGCCGGATGGAGGCCTTTGATTCATGGCCGTTGGGGGCAGGGGGAGGTGGTGCGTTATTGGACCATACATCACCACACTCGCTCGTACATCGCTCGCCGCCCACGCTCATTTGGCGGTTACGGGAGTCGAACTCGGGAAGAAGCCTTTGGTGCATTGCGCTAACCGCTGCGCCACCCACCCCCTCCTCCCCCGGCGCTTTTACGAAGACGACGTTAACGGCGCGTGCTCGCTAACGCCGGTTCCGTGTGGCACAAGGCGCTCGCCTCTCGGCCATAAAGTTCACTTCGGTTTCAGCCTTCGGAGGTGATTTAGAGGAGACGGATTTTTTTTAGCATTCTTTTTTTTGTAAACTTTGCACTGGTTTTCTTCGTGCGCCTGGGATGTTCAGGACGCACGCCCCCAAGGCACGCACGCACAAGACGCGTTGGCACTTGGGGTCCCTTCGTATCTCTCGTTTATGATCTCCGCTCAGGAGGGACAGCGCGGGGAGTCGGAGGAGAGACGTCAGCGGCCGCTCCGCGCTGCGCTGAGCACGAAATTTTATAAACCTCGGAGCCACGCGTGTCGTCTCGCGTCTGGTGGATGTACACTGGACGTTAAACTTTACTTGTTAGACTCTACAGCCCCTTTCTTTCCAACCCACCGCCGGGGGGCCACGGTGGCGAGATGTTAACTACCTCGCCTGGTATACAGGAGGTTCGATCCCGACACTGCTGTATAATTGGAGTTTTCATGTTCTCCCCGTGGTCGCGTAGATTTTTTCTCCGGGTCATCCGGTTTTTCCCTCCACATTTAGAATCAACATCACGCGTTCAGAGTATGTGGCTGGTATACTTCTAAGCCACTTCGTTGAGCTAGCATTTGTGGCCAGGTCGCTTCTGAAAGAGAGCTGTGGGCCTCAATGGGTCTCACCTGGTGAAAGAAAATGATCGTTAGAAGGCCTCACCAGCCCGTGTTGCTCACATGAGTGACAATCACCCTCCCTTTAATCACCACGCCAGCCAGTGTGGGGAGCATAGAAGTAGTGCACAATGAATGTGCCACCACTTATCACCGCAGCATATTCTACTCCTTGCGTGTATGATGGGAATACGTTCAGGAGCTAAGTGCCAATGTCGAGGTCCTGCTGCTGCTGGCCACGACAAGAGAGCTTTAGCACAGCGAGAGTTCGTATCGTGTCGCTATCCCCCCCTCCGTTGAAGGAACACAGACCACAGTGGGTTTTACTGTGTGGTGGATAGTTGCATGGCCACACTCTTTAATGAATCTCTATTCATCTCGACGAGCCTATGTATATCTGTGTCTACGTGGGTCTCTGTTGATCTACGAGTCTCTACGCTTTTATATAGCTGCGGGTTTACAATATGGCCCCAGTTTGGGTTGTATGGCCACAGTCGCACAAATGCGGCTTGTGTTTATGAAGGAGTTAGTGAGCATCGGCCTGCTGACCGGTGTTAGATGCGGATGCGACCACCACGCAGCCGATAATGATGGTACGCGTGGTGGTCGCCCATACAAGCGCTAACCAGGCTCAACTTCGCTTAGCCTCCCAGATGTGACGAGATCGGATGATTGCGGATGATTTGCCCACTGTGTTCCACCAGATTTGAAGCTTTCGTGACTGCAAGGATTCATATTCGTAGGTTTTTTCGGTAAAGCCGTTTTGGAGATAACACAAGCAACACAATTTAATTTTTTTACCTACGTGACTTTACCGAAAAAACCTAAGAATATGTGTTCCACCACTTATCACTGCAACGCGGTCCGTGTTGATACCAGACCACCGATACACTGCTGTGTAAGGCCCACTGAGTTGTGAGGCTATTTCTTTTCAAAAGCGACTTGGCCACCACTGATAGCTCAACTAAGTGGCTTATCACGTGGAAATGTATAGCAGCCAAATACTCGAAATTCATGTTGAGTCTAAATGGGGAGGGGGGAAACACCGGAGGACGCGGATACATTTTCACCCGACCACGTGGAGAGAGACACGCAACTTCAAATATCCAAATATACAGCAGGCGTCGGGGTCGGGGTCGAACCCACGACCTCCTGCGTGCCAGGCGAGAGATTTAACATCGCGCCACCACGGCGCCCACTGCGTCACGTGCGATTTCAACAGATACGTGTTAATATCACACGTGACGCTACGCTGCCGTGTGCTGATAGTAATTTGAAGAATTCGAAACAGACATGCTCTGATAATATGCGTGTTTGCATGTTCCACCACAAGTAATGCAGCCTTGATTCCTTGCAAAAAAACTCCTGTTTTATGGCCAGAAAGGGTAAAACCTATTCTTCATCCTTTGATAATGGAAAAAAAAGTCCGGTGATATTTTAACATACAGTACATATAATTACAGTTCTAAGTCCAACATATATTGTTTTGCTCAGCCTTATTCACGTTCTACTCTCTATTCATTCAGCGTCCAATTCAGTCTACGTTTAAACGCTTTCGAAAAGCATCCTGTTGCTTTGTCCTCTGCACGTGACCCCAGGCCGCTCTTGCAAAAAAGAGGATGGTGAATGCTTCACGAGTCTCATTTGGGGTTATTTCAATTGTCTGCTTGGGTGTTCTTCACTCATTTCAGGGGGGGGGTCAGTGCCGGATTAACCTCGTAGCAAAAGTAGCTACAAATGCTAGGGGCCCCGCACTTTCAAAGGCCCGCGCTAAATGCTTTCAATCTATAAATTCCGGTTCAGTGATGCTGCAACTTGCTCTATTATTATAGTACTATACTGCCTTCAACGTTAACGAACGACCGGGTGTTTAAGGTTAGCGATTTGTCGTATTGTCTCGCTGTATAGAAAATGAAAATACAACGACTTTACTATGCAAGTAAAAAAAAATTGTGTTTTAATATTTACTTTTTTATTTATTTAAGGTCCCTTTATAACATATGCTGCAGGCCTCGCACTAGCTTAATCCGGCACTGGGGTCGGTGGGGCACTTTCACCGATAAGACATCGTCAGTGTGAGAGGGCCGCCACAGATTTGAAACCATTAGGGGGTTGACAGCAGCACGATGATGATGATGGGGGGTGTTTTCACCATTTGTGTAATGTCGCGGGGCCACACTAAAGGCCAACAAAAAGGGGCCCTGCCAGTGGCCTCGTGGTGGCCTTCAAAGGACGAAACACGTGTCTAATTAAGTAAAGGATACACAACACACCTACATTGACGAATAAACGAAACTCTTACCACGCCAGCGCACATTTAGACCGGGAGTTTCTTTTGCTCAAGGGCACCCTGCTAAGTGAGCACGCACGTGACGATAACGCGTCATAAAGGTCGCGCTCATGGCACACGAAGTTCCCCGCCTCAAATGAACCGCGACACATCGTTGATCTCGACAGGGAGCGTAAAGCATCACCACGCGAACTGCGGCCACATCCTCACAGCAGCATCAGCAGCGTATTCTCGCTAGCCGTCGAACAAAGGCGGTGGTCACCGCATCGCGCGCTTTCAGATGCGCCTCTGCGGCCGTCTGGAACGCTCTTCCATTCCGATATTAGGAAGCCACTGGAGCTCAGCACTGTCAGATCATGTAGATTGACAAACTCAGTTGTGTTTAGTTTCGTGTCCTTCCCGCGCGCCTACGTACGGTGCGCAGGAAATTCAACGTACATACATACAATGCATGAAACTACGCATTCAAACAATGCACCCTGAAAGACTACCTCCTCGGTGTTAGTAATGTAAAACCATACGTTCCAAAATAATCTATTTGTAACAATGTTAAGCCTCCCAAACGAGCACGCAAAGTTAGTTGACATTTAACTCAGACAAGTCCGCATGCCTGTGACCAAATCAAATCGTCCACTATCGCTCGATCTCGAAAGATAAGCAGGTTATTGATCTTGGGCAGGCCGTAGATGGGCCACCACTACTATCACCATGCATTAACAGGTGCTATAGGCTGCTGCGGGGCCTCGTTGTGGGAATCAAAAGGGTCGTGCAGTAAATTCCACTGGTTCTAATGTACTGTGCTTCCACGTCTATGCCCTCTGCCTTCACCGACCCCCACTGACCAGCGTGGTGAAGTATGGTCAAGAGGACTGTACATGTACACGTTAACGTTCCTGAACAACATTCCTTGCTACGTAGCGCTTAGACCCAAGCATACGTGTACTGTACGTACAGGTTCTAAAATCCACACGTGTTAGTCATGCGCAATGTTGTGAACATCGGCCATCACCGTGACCATTCAAATCGACTGAGCAATTCTCAAATTGAGCTTCCAGTGGTAGTCGCGTCAACCGTGCACGTCAGTGCCACGCACAACGCCGAGCCCCATTCCATACCTGCGTCTGTCGGCCGTGTTGCCACAGGACACGAGACCGCCCCCCGTGTCTGAAGGCGCGCAGCAGAGCCCACAGCGTCACACCATGACGACGACACCAGGCGTTGCGCAACACTCACCACCGCGTCGACCAACTCGCACTTGCTCCTCGCCCAGTGGAGCTCGCTCGCTCCTGATCCAACCCCAGGCAGTCGCGAGCGTGCGCGTGCGTTGTTTATAGGCAACCCGTGCACCACTCGGTCTTCCTCCCCCACCAACCCCCGCCCCCTCCCCCGTTCCCCCCTACCGCCAGGCACACAGTGACGCGTGGACACAGTCCAAAACATCAATGCTCTTATCTGTGCCGATACCAAAAGCGCCACCCCCGCCCATGCTGGTATGTTGGCCGATTGGAAAGGGGTGGGATGGGTCCAAAGCAAAGGGTAACAATCCTCATCGTCGTCTTCATCATCGTATGGCTGATGTTGATGGAGAGCGACGCCGATAATTGAGAGCCGGATAAATTGCGCCCAGGAGTCGCGGAGCGGTGCGTCGCTACGATGACGCCTCCTCCGTATTTGCGAATCGGGCATCGAGGCGTTTCACGTCCCATGCGATTTGGTCGGAGCGACCACAGCGTGTACACACTGCCGGAGAGTATTTATTTTTATTCTCCATTTGTGCATCATCATCATCATCATCGTCGGCGTCGTCAAGTATATACATCATCAGCTGCTGCCGCTGCTGCTGCCGTGGTTGGGGCAGCGGATTCGATTCAGGGGATTGTCGCCGCAGAAGCTTCGCGAAGATGGAAGCCAGGGATCTCATCTGCGTCCGTCCGGTCTGGCACGAGTCACTTGTTTACGACTTCTTGTCAACTCCATTTGGCGCCGCGAGGCATCGCGGTTTGAAGTCGCATTGTTGACGCTGAAGCGCGTGGGTCCAAAAGGGCTTGCGACACGTCAAGCGGCGGTGAAGGGACGCTGTTGAGATCCTGGGTGTGGTTGTATACGAGAGGACGCAAGAGGTGCGTGAAGATTTGTCACCTGGATAAATCCTCGACATGGCCCGTCTCGTCTGCGAGCGCCGTCAATTGACCAATGGGCAGCGACGCACGCAATCGACTCGTTTACAAAACGCACACAGGCAAGACGAGACACGTGGACGAGGGTGATAGCTCTGGAATGAGAGTCGAGAGATACAGATCAGACGGAGATGCGGCGACATGAGGGTTGAAGAAGAGACAGCGATACAAACGTGGGTGAGAATAGAGCACCGCAGTCATGCATATTGGATGATAATTATTATTTATTAGGGATCTGAATTTTAAGGAGGACACGGTAGCGAGATGTTAACTATCGCGTCCGGTATACAGGAGGTCGTGGATTCTATTTCAACCCTGACGCCGGCTGTATATTTGGAGTTCGCAGGTCTCTCTCCCCGTGGTCGCGTGGATTTTTCTCCGGGTCCTCCCGGTTTTTCCCGCTCCACATTTAAAATCAACATCACGCGTTCAGAGTATCTTGCCGCTGTACATTTCCACACGATAAGCCGTCACTTCGTTGGAGCCATCATTCGTGATAGCCAGTTCGCTTCTGAAAAAATAGCTATGGAGCTCAGTGTGGGCTTTAGCTGGTAAAATAAAATAAAAATTAGTTTAAAACTATTTGGTGCATGCCTCGTTTTTCCATTAAACCAGATGCCCCCTTGAGCCTCTTGAGGGGGCACCCACGACTTTGCTTCAGCTCGCTTCCCCAAGTAAGTCACTGCCGTGCCCGCCCTGGACTCGTGCAGCACAGCGTGCTCTTAGACTCCTCCATTCATCATCATCAGCTGCCGCAGCCCAGATCTATCCATTGCTGGACGAAGGCCCTCGCAGAACGTAGCCAACTCCGACGGCCCCAGGATGCAACCGTCACGCGCACTAGTTCACGACCAATATTTCGATTAACAATTTGTTTATTTTTGGGTTAGATCGTCCCGTAGCTATAATGTGAAACTTTAGTTTTACTGTAAACCTCCGCCACCCGACACGGCGAAGCAAATATTGAAATCACGTGGGCAATTGTGCCACAATTGATTTAGTTTATTCAACAAAACCTCTGGAATCATTAAAATGAATCAGAATGGTTTATTTGGTTATCATTTTGTCCGACGTTTCGCTGGCTTTTAAGATCGCGCATCATCAGCTGTTACCAAACGCTCAGCTCTCGCTTCCAAATGCTTCCTGCTCCGAATCCTTAAGTAGGTGCCATGACGTGATGCAACCATGCAGGTGAACTTGTTTATTGCTTATAGCTGACCTTGTTTTACATTTATTAGACTCGATTGGTTGTGCTTTTGGCAGGTGATATTCGTGTAGTCAAGGTGACTATTTAGCGGGTGGTGAACAGAGGCTTTCCTTACCTTTAATTCAGGTGTATTGCGACAGTTGTGAAGCTGGAGTGTTAATACCATAGTGGTTCTAGTTAGGCGTTAATTGGTTAATGTGGTTAATTAAATTAGCGCTATGGGGATTCGCACGATGAGTAATTCGAGTTGCAGGATCATTTAAAGTGGTGCTAATTTTATCGACCCACGTGTAAATTATGAGCCAGGTCGACCTCCTTAATATGTTTATGAAAGCAACATATACACAGTACACTGTACCAACTTCTCCGGATTATAAGACGCATCTATCCCGATTTAGTTTAAAGCGAAATTCTGGGGGGGGGGGGGGGGGGGGGGTGCCGATGGGAGGGAGGGGGATAGGGGGCACTGGGGCTAGGAGAGAGGATAAAAGAGGTGGGGGCTAGAGGGGAAGGGGAGCTAGAGGGGGAGGGGGAGGCGAGAGGGGGAGGGGTCTAGAGGGGGAGGGGGCTAGAGGGGAAGGGGAGCTAGAGGGGGAGGGGGGGGGCGAGAGGGGGGTGGGGGGGCGAGAGGGGGGAGGGGTCTAGAGGGGGAGGGGGCTAGAGGGGAGGGGGTCTAGAGGGGGAGGGGCTAGAGGGGAGGGGCTAGAGGGGGAGGGGGCTAGAGGGGGAGGGGGCTAGAGGGGGAGGGGGCTAGAGGGGGTGGGGGCTAGAGGGGGAGGGGGATAGAGGGGAGGGGGTCTAGAGGGGGAGGGGGCTAGAAGGGGAAGGGGAGCTAGAGGGGGAGGGGGGGGGGGCGAGAGAGGGGGGTGGGGGGGCGAGAGGGGGGAGGGGTCTAGAGGGGGAGGGGGCTAGAGGGGAAGGGGAGCTAGAGGGGGAGGGGGAGGCGAGAGGGGGAGGGGGCTAGAGGGGGAGGGGGGGCGAGAGTGGGAGGGGGCTAGAAGAGGAGGGGCTAGAGGGGGAGGGGGCTAGAAGGGGAGGGGGGGCGAGAGGGGGGAGGGGACTAGAAGGGGAAGGGGAGCTAGAGGGGGAGGGGGGGGGGCGAGAGGGGGGTGGGGGGGCGAGAGGGGGGAGGGGTCTAGAGGGGGAGGGGGCTAGAGGGGAGGGGGTCTAGAGGGGGAGGGGGCTAGAGGGTGAGGGGGCTAGAGGGGGAGGGGGCTAGAGGGGGAGGGGGCTAGAGGGGGTGGGGGCTAGAGGGGGAGGGGGCTAGAGGGGGAGGGGGCTAGAGGGGGAGGGGGCTAGAGGGGGAGGGGGCTAGAGGGGGTGGGGTCTAGAGGGGGTGGGGGTCTAGAGGGGGAGGGGGCTAGAGGGGGAGGGGCTAGAGGGGAGGGGGTCTAGAGGGGGTGGGGGCTAGAGGGGGAAGGGGACTATAGGGGGGGGGGGGGCTAGAAAGGAGGATAGACGGGGGGCTAGAGGGGTAGGGGGTGCTAGAGAGGGGGGGGGGCTAGTGGGGGTCGGGGGTCTTATAATCCGGCATGTGAGTGCGCGTATGTGACCAGATGGCTTTGTTGACACGAGTGCGGGGTGCGTCTCTGACTTTATCTGTGAATGTTTTTTTTCGTGTTCCCAGAGCGCCGTCCTTCCGACTGTCCGCAAGTCCATCCGACGGGTTCAGCGTTCCGAAGGTCGTTTTCCAAATCGCCGATGAAAATGACCGCTTCTGTGTGTTTGTGCGACGCGTTCTGAGCCGACAAGAACCCGCCGGGCCTCGTGGGGGCAAAGCGAACTCGACGAGCCCCCTGCCAGATGATCGACTCGTGATATGCAATTCCTCTTAGACACACAGACACACACAAAGACAAATGACACCCCCCCTCCCCTGTATAGCCTGAACAGACCGTTGGGGCAAGTGCGTTTAAGCGACCACCTTTGAAAAATGGAACGAGATCAAAGGGGAATTGGTGGACAGCACCACGCTCGTCCGCCTTTGTCGCCGCGATGCAGGCGAATGGTAAACCACCTCGACTGGTATACAGGAGGTCGTGGGTTCGATCCCGACTCTGACGCCTGTTGTCTCTCTCCCCGTGGTCGCCTGGATCTTGGTCCCGGTCCTCCAGATTTTCCCTCCACATTTAGAATCGACGTGCGTTTAGAGGATTTGACTGGCTGGTATAAATGTGCGCGTGATATAAAGCCACTTCATCGAGCAATTCATTATTCGTGGCCAGGTCGCTTCTAAAGAAGAGCTGCAAAGCTCGGTGGGCCTTGCCTGGTAAAACAAAAACAATGTTTTAGTTTAGTTTTTGTCTCCTCGGTGGCGATGTATACCAAGGCGGTAATTATAATATAGATTGGGGGGGACACACCCCCCCCCAATATATATTATAATCTCCACCCCAATATATTGATATTAAATAGATTTCTGTTTATATGATTATGGTTATGGTTGTACTTTATTAATCCCTAATCTCTGCCATTACATACAATGAAACAAGAAAAGGTAAAAAAATAGAAACAGAGCAAAGCAATATAATACACAATTAGACATTATTGTAAAAAATAAATAAAAAGTCCATCCCATGTGTTAGTGAATTTTGTAATATTTTAGGCAGGAAATGGCAGGAAATTCTTTTCAAATTTAGATTTTTTTTTCTGGGGAGGGATCCTCAAACCCCCTGGATGATTTGGTCCCCCCCCAATGTTGACTCCATGACTACGGCCTTGATGTATCCGCACTGCACCAGGTACTCATTTGAGGCTGACCGAGGGGAGGCCCGCGACCGACGCAGATAATCGTCACTGGTGTTGGTGGCCGTGAGCGGGAATCGCACTCGAGGGGTCTGGGGTTTGTAGCGCAGCGCGCTAACCGCCGCGCCACCGCTCTACGCGCTAACCGCTGCGCCACCGCTCCCCGTGCACACGAGCGTCGAG